CTCATATAGTATATTATTTAATATTAAATAATTAATTTAATTTGAAATCTTCTCTAATGATAATTACCTTATTTATACTTTTTTTTTTGAATTTTTTGGGTAAACTTTTGCTAAGCGCATCCACAGTGCATTAGCCGGGGCAAATGTTGTGGAAAAAAGTCTGTTCGGTCTAGAAGGCAGGAAAATGATTTTATTTCGTTTGTCATTTGCGTTGCACATAATTCCATAAAATGACAGAAACATGTGTACAAATTTGTTTCTATGGCGCCATGACCATGCTATTGCCCCCACATCCCCCTCTTTTCCTCCCTATCTGCTCATAGCCCAATTGCTATTGGCCATAAACAAATTCCAATAGAAACGAGGCTAAGCTGCTTGCCTGGAGCTGGAGCTTGCACTTGACTGGATCGCATTGCAGTTGCCTGCACTTTCATTTCATGCCATGCCGACAGCCAGTCGAGTTGAGTTGAGTCGAGGCGAGTCTTAAATAAACCAAGACTAAGCTCAATTTACAGTACGGCAAGCATTTGATTGTTGGCAGATGTGTTTATTTGATTTTAAATATAGCTCTTAAATATTTTGGGGCCATTCATCAGGCGGCGGGTGTGGGCAGCGCCTCAAGTGGCCGGCCCCGTTTATGAGATTATATTATGCGTTAGCTCAACTCGAGCTGGGCTTTTATATTGTTAAGCGGCTTAAACGCCTTCACTCACAGTGCAGTGCTTATAATCTCTGACAGTTAACAAATGATTACAAACAGTGCGACAAATTGTTAAAAATAAATTATAATTCTATTATTATTTAAATGCTCTAAGCGGAAACTGTGAACAGCTGCCCCAAAACACCGACTGCCGGCTGCAGCTTTAATGCGGTACGACTGGGCAATAATTTAGACCCAAAAAAGCTAAGCGCTGCGCACTTTTTCACTGCAGCATCCGGACAAGCCCTGCGTGTGTGTGAGTGTGTGTGTGTGTGAGTGTGTGTGTTTGTGTATGTCGCCTGAAACTACAAAAGACCGCATTGTGTGTGATTTATACACCTTAAGCTTCGATGAACGCTATAACACCAACAGCAGAGACGCTGACGGCGACAGCGACGGTGACTGCAGCGTCGGTGTTTGGTACCACATCTTACATATAGATTTTTTTTTCTTCTCTCATTTATATGGGAAGTTGGCGCATAGCCACCAGACAAAGCGGCAGACGACAGCGGCAACGACGTTTGGCGGCAATGAAGCCATAGCCATGAAATGGAAATGCATTCGAGTGTGTTTAAGCCGGCGTTACGCTGCCTCAGTGCTAGTCGCAGCCTCAGTTGCCATCTCAGCCTCAGTCTTCGCTGTCATGGGCCATATACGTATGCGACTACAGATAAGACGTGCTCGATAGAGTCCAAAGAAAAAGCGAACTCATTTTACGCCTGCATTTCCCTTTACTCTATGTGTGCGTGTGTGTGTGTGTGTGTGTGTAGTCAGTTGACGTTAACAAGCAAAAGCGTACGATAGAATTGAAAAAATTGTAGGAAGAAGTTTATCAAGTCAATTGAGACCTGCGACAAAAGACCAAAGCGCAGCAGCAGCGGCAGCGGCAGCAGCAGCAGCAACAACAATTTGGTCGTGAGCAGCAGCATGAGCTTTGGATGCAATGTCTGAATCATCAGTGTTTGGCAGCTTTGTCGTCGGTGTCTTTATCAGCAGGCCCGCAGCAGCAGCAGCCTTGGTAGTAGTAGCGGCAGCTGCAGCAGCCGCTGTGTCAGAGACAGCTGCAGCATCAACGACAATGGCATCATCATATAAAAGGCAACGTGTATAGTTTTTTTCTAGATTGCAGCTCAAAGCGTAAGAAGGGCATCATTGCAAGTGGTTGGGAGAGAGGGAGATGGAGAGAGAGAGAGAGAGAGAGAGAGGTGTATGAAGAGGCAGAACCGAGAAGAATCTAATTTGCATGCAATACGATTTTTGATAAAAGCTTTTACCCGAACATCAAATAAAACGACAATGCAACAACACTCCAAGTCTGATTGTGCGACTCAGACGCTGTTACACTTTGGTATTCATAAGAAAAACAACCAGAGACGAGATAAGAGCAGCCAAAGGCAATCAAAAAGTGCATTTGCGTGTGCCGTTTGCTGTTCCCTGCTTGCTGCTTGCTTCTTGCTGCTTGCAGCATGCCTCCAGCTGCAGCGGCGCACTCGAGCGTCTATTGCCGCACTTCTTATGCTTTGTCACCAGCTAACTACACGGCACGGTCTTGGAGTGCTGCTGCAGCAGCCAACAGACAGCAGCCAACAGCCAACAGCGGATGCTGTTCCAGGTAACTGCCAACTGGTTACTAGTTGCTATTGCAGTTACTACAGACAGTGATACTATTGCTGCTGCTGCTGTTGTTGTTGTTGTTGTTGCTGCTGCTATTGCTGCTGGTGTTTGTGGTGCAAGTGCGATTCACTATTTGACACATGATCCATGGCAGTGTCGTGTCTGACACGCGTTTTATCTATGCTGCCAGGGAGGGGCCATCTCTCGCTCACTCTTACGCCTCCCTTCTCTTGCGCTCTTTCCGTGTGCGTGTGTGGGTGTGCACATGATGTGCATGCATGCGTTTTCTAAATGATTTCCAAGGAATTTTTATTGGGAAAAACGATGAAAGCGAAAACGCATGCAACAACAACAGCAGCAGCAACAACGACAACAACAACAACAACGATAGAGTTGACATCGAGCTGCTTTAGAAACTTTATTGACGTCTTCAAATTGTCAACTCGAAATTCGAAGTGTTTTATTTTATGCTTTGTTTCTCATATTTTCGTTGCCCCTTGTTGCTCGTTGCCCGTTGCCCGTTGCCCGTTGCCCGGGCGCTGTTTTATCGCACATCTGTAAAAGGGCTGAAGCCATGGCAATGGCTGGAGGGGGGCATATGGGTATATTGGGTCCCAATGTCTATGATGATGACTTTTTATTATGCGCATTTCGGTTTTTATGCTTCGGTTCCGGCATGTTTTGTACACACATATCTAAATGCCATACTTAAACGTTTACATATGGTGCAGGCTAGGAAGGGGCTTGATGAGGATGAGCCGAGCGGCGCAGTGCCAAGTTGGCCTTAGCCACTCACAGCGGTTTCGGGAATTTAATGATGTGCGGCTTTTATGAGCAAACAATGCGTCTTTCATCACCCCGCTGTCTGTCCGCCTGACTGTCCGTCCGTCTGCATTTTGCAATGTACTTGATAATGGTTCGATGTCCATTAAATCCGTCATCGTTTCGTCAATATTCATGCAGTTATGGAAAGTTACGATCTGTCCGCGCTGGGTGTTAAAAACAGTTTAAATTTATTTGGCTATAAGCAATCCAAAAACGGGAATCGTATAAGGTTTTCCATCAAAACTTCTTGAACACTCATAACAATATTCATATGCATGGAGGCTCGCGCCTGCATATTTAGATAAACCATGGCCATGGAATATGTTGGCCAACTTTTATGGCCGCTCGGCTACATGGCCAACTTTTTCTGGTCGCACTTAAAGCATCCCAGACGCACAATTGCTAGGCACGATATTGTGAGCGTCGAAACTTTCAGCTTCAACTTGCCAATCATAAATGGAACGAAATGAAATGCAATGAAATGATACTGCCAAACTTCGGGCACACCTCGCACAGCTTTTGGCCAACGCCAAACGGCCGCCAAGTTCATAACGAGTAATATCTTTTTATTGGGTTTGCATGTGCCAGAAACCCCTTAAGCTACTCGCAAAAAAATTTACATTTTTATTAAAATTTTACCAGCGAAACTACCTTCCACACATGCGCATTGCTATATGTACATATATATTATAAATGTAAAACATTTATGTAAGTACGTGCGCCAGGGGGAATTGAATATAATCCTGATTTTGTTATTTTGCTCATTAGCAAAAAATTGCAATGGAATAAGCTTCCGAATGCAACACAACAATACAAGCAAGCAAACACATTATGTAGCCGGGTAGAACTGACGGCACAATACTTGTTCATGATATGAGTTGAAAGTGGATTCGTTTTCTTTCGATATGGCTCAAGGAGCAGTCCATTCATTGATCTATCCGTTATCCAGAGACAGAGAATTTAATAGAATATATTTCCTATCTCAAGTCCCCAGCTTGAGAAGTATATGCTCATACAAATTCCAAAATAAAATTCAATATACCCTTTCATTCAATTTCATGTCCAACCACAAAAAATGCTCTGTTTATGTGGTTATGCTCATTAAAATGAAATTCAAAGCATATACTTGACGCTGCATACATATAATCTAGATATGAACTTGTAATGTTTTTATGCTCTGTATAATTAAATATTATGTGCTGCAATTAGCGGCAATAGATAGGATGGTTAGTGTGCATTTGTAATGCTGATATAGCCCAGAGCTGCTTTAATATTATCGGCGAACAGCAAGGCAAGGCATCAAGTCAACTGCTGGGCCAGCTGCTGCTTTCCACACGCTTTGAATTTCATTTTGAACTTTGCAATAAATCTACATAGATGTATAATAAATATCCATTTGCCATAGACAAGGCTAGGCCAGGCAGGCAGGCAGCCAGGAGGCGGGAGGCGGGACGCAGGAGGCGGGTGGCGACAGCATTAGCCCAAGCAGGGTTCAGCATAGCTCGTTCATACTGGTATGCGCTGCCTAAAACATGTGTTTATGGCTGCCTCGGCTATAGCTTATACGTGTATATGTATCTGTATGTGTGTGTGTGTGCTTTTGTTTACATATTATGTACATATTTTTTTGGCCTCTTGTTTTGCACGCCGCTGATAAGAGTTTGCGCCCGATGAGAGAGAGAGAGAGAGAGGAAGAGAGATAGGGAGAGAGAGAGTGGGCTGGGCGAGCGCTTATCAAAAGTTGCCCAAGCTGTTTACTTGAGCAACAATCTGTTGCCCAGCTTCCAGTTTCCGCATCAGTCTGTGTCCGTGTCTTAAAGCGTATAAGACTTTAACGCGACTTTAATACATCATTAACGAGGGGGGCAAACGGCGGCTGCTTCTTTGCATTTTGAATTCCAAATGCGGCGCACATTCCGATTGATTTTCCTGTGGCTCCTCATTTTGCTGCCCACTTTGTGCCGCACACGTAAGTCAGCCAGCAGTCATTTGATAATGGCCAGCACACACACACACACACACACACATCCGCATTTCATATCATATTATTCTGCCCATATAGACCGCAGCTGCCAGACACCCGACAAAAACTCTGGCAAATGTGTGCACTTCAGCTCTTGCCGCTTCGTACTGCAACAATATGCGATGTACAAGGAACATATGCCGCCGCACATAATGCGCTTCCTGCAACGATCCCGCTGCCGGCCCAAAGTTGATGGCGTAAGTGGCACTAGGCACTGGCCGTCGGGTCTGTCATTAGTACTAATAAAATTCCTTTTGTTTTTTTTTTTTTTTTGCATGCCTACTTATCGACCACGACAACAAAGTATCATTTGTGCTGCGAACTGAAAGACGTGATTCCTGCGAATGTCAACTCAAAGCTGAAATGAACTTCAAAGCATCAAAACATCTGCCCAAAACTAAATAGCATTAATATGTATACTATATCACTCTCTCTCCCTCTCCCCCTCTTCCCCCCTCTGTCTGACTGCTTTGATCTGCCTGAATTCATTTGTATAGTTGCCTGGGCAAAAAGCCTCGGCCAAAAAGTTTATGTGGCTGCCATAATGTCTGTAATTATTTAGCTATACTCACATTTTGCACTCTTCACTGTCTCGTCTCGTCTCGTCTCGTCAGACAGGCGCTGTCAGGGCAACTGGAATTTGAATATGAATTGCTGTCTGTGCTCTCAAAATGTTAATAAATGCAATAAATTAAAAACTTTAAACTTTTCACAATCCTTGACAGTGCGACTCAATTTATGTTGCCTAAACACCGAAATGCTTTTAATATAAAACAATATCAAAAATTCTGTACAAAAGTTTGTATTACACTTTCGTTTAGTTAAGCATAAATATTTGTTTTAATATAACAAATGTTGAATGGCTTTTAAGTGAGAATTTGCTTTTTGCTCTGCTTTGGCCCCGTCGGCTTAACCCTCATCTTGCAGCCGTTTCTCGTTGTCGTCTGTTTTTGTGTTTTTAATGTGGCAGATTTTAAGTGACATTCGGGGGCCGCTAAATGGCCGTCTAAAAATCACGCAACATTAAAATGATTTATGCTGAATAATTTTCACTGAAAATGAAGCAAAAGCCAAGCTGCCCGCTGCCTGCAACATTTGTGGTTAGTCCAGGTTTCGGTTGCCTGCCGTGCGGCCGGAGAGGGCGGCCAAGTGACTGAGGTCGGTGGCAGGGGTATGAGCAGGGGCAGGGGTAGGGGTAGGGGAGGCACCTCACATTGCTCGAGTCTGGGGCGTTGAAATGCAGACACCTTGTGCGCGCACGTCGCTCGAATTTCATGCTTAGGATGTGGCCGCTAACGCGGAGGCATAGAAGCGGCCGTTGGCTGCCTGCAACATGAACGACGCCCAGTCGCTGAAATTGCAGACAGCGTCCAGATGATAAATGGCCCAAAAGCACATTTGAGTCGCTGCTGCGGCTGCTGTGGCTGCTGCTGCTGCTGCTCCTGCTGCTGCTGCAGCTGATCTATTAGACAAACGCACGCCCAAGGCGGCAGCGGGAACTGCTCGCACACATATCTTCAGCATGGCCAGAACTGGGTTTGGCTATTTATGGAGAGTTTAGCACGAGATAAAACTCAACGAACAACGGACAATTCTGATGATTATTTTTGTCGCCTTTTAACTAAGTCAAGTAAAAAGCAGAGAGAGAGAGAGAGAGGGGGAGAGAATAAAGCAGAATGAGAGAAAATGCTGCTGTCAGAAATTAAATGGAAAGCAGCTCCTAAAAGCATTGCACTCGAAAAAGTTGCTGTTGGCTTGTAAACATGTTTAGTCTAATGCATGGCTGGGTCCAAGCACATTCAAGCTGTTCAAGCTGTTTGGGCTGTTTGGGCTGTTCAAGCTGTTGGTGCGGTGCAACAAATGTTGTTAACAAGCATATTTTGACAGCTCAACAAGATGTTGCCAGATGCGCGAACAGCAACAACAGCAACAGCAACAGCAACAATAGGAACCATTTGCATATGTTGCAAGCCGGCAATGCAGAACTAAAGTAAACCAAAAACAAAAACAAAAACGAGCCACTAAACCAGGAACTGCATTTGCCGCTGCTATCGCTGGCCATCTGTATGGCAATTGGTTTGGCTAGTGAGGCGCAGAGTCAATTACTTTCAGCTGTGTTGTTGCTGTCATTAAATAGTGTTGTTGTTGCTGCTGCTGCTGTTGCTGCTGCTGCTGCAGCAGCTGTCTCATAAACATGACAGCAACAAAGTGCTCTGCCGACCTCTGCATTGTTTTTAAAAGTATTTCATGCATTTTAATAAACATCGGAGCGCATTTAATGAAATGGAGAGTGCGCGCCCAACATGCACTCGCTGTGTGGTCTCTGCTCTGGTGCCGTGCATGTATTTCCACCAACAACATGAACATTCGGCTTGGCCACATCTATTTTCTAATTGCATTTCGCTGTTCCACAGCTGTGTGTGTGTGTGTGTGTGTGTGTGTGTGTGTGTGTGTGTGTGCTGGTGTGTGTAGTTATGTGGTCACACACACCTTTTGAGTAGACAAGCAGCCAGCCAGCAAGAGCTCTCTTGGTCTTATGTGCATCACATTCGCTGTGGCTGGCTGGCGCCTTCTCTATTGCATTGCACATGAGTGGGTAACATATCTTGCCAGCTCTTTGTCTTTTTCAGCACACACAGTCAGCCACACACTCACACACACACTCAGTCAGCCACACAGCCATCACTTGGTGTTAATTTCGCTCGTCTTGTGTCACTGCCAGCTGACACGCCGAGTGTCGTCGTCTATCACATGGCCAAGAAATGCAATTAACGTGCTCTATCGGTATTGCCATGCCAAAGAAATCTGACTTTTAAATGAAAGGCTGTCGCTGATAACGGGTTGCTCACCTGACAAATTGACATATTACGTTTCGCATTTCTTTCTCTGTATCTGCAGACTTTTTTTGTATCCCCCATATCAATCAGATGGATAAACACATCAGCAAAACTGTTTTTGAATTTATTTATATATTATTTATTGTTTATGAAATATTTATTTCTAATCAGTTGCATTCAATGTGCGTCCTCACATAAAAATGTTTGACTGCCAATAAAAAAAAGATATAAAATCTCCACCGAAACCCAAAGTGGAAGCTTTCAGTCGATAAACTTGGTTTCTTAACCTTTAATACTCTTAATAAAAATTAAATTTCAAAAACTGTTTATAATTATTATTAAAAGAGGAAAATTAGGAAAAATAAATTAAAAATATTTTTATTAACTATTGTTGAGAAAAAAAAAATTATAAAAATTATATATCCATATGTGTAGTTTATTTTATTTTGAAATTTTTATTTTTCAAGTACTACTTTTTAAATTTCTTCATTTTTTTTTATTAAAAACAAGTTCATTGTTTAATTTTTGTATAATTCCTAAATTCCAACACTTTTTGATGGTTTACAATAATTTTTTTCTTCTATATATTTCACAGGCATATATATTTATATATTTAACCAAAATAAATTAAGTTTTCACATAAAAGCTCTGTTCGCGCTGTAAGGATATATTTTCAACTGTTGCTTACAGGTTTATTTAGATTTCTTATTAATTATCTTTTGATATTATGATGCATAAAAATGTATATTTTACTATAATTAAAAGTAGTGCCAAGTTATGCCATTGACAGGAAATGTTTTCTGTGAATTTCAATGACGGCAACGACGGCAAAAGTTCTAGCAACAGTTTTCTTGGAATTGATTGACTTTTGAGGGCAGTTGCAGTTACTACTTCTGCAGCGGCGGTGGGAATCGTCTGGGTTAATTAGCTTGGGGAGATGGAGTCGAGCTGCAGCTTGGGCATTGGCTTGTCAATCAACGGAGAGGGAGACAGAGATACGGGGAGAGCGAGAGGAGCTGCTCGCAACGAGCTGAAACCACAAATTCAATAAAATTTGAAAAGCAATTAATAACTGATTGACAAGTATTTATCTGAAGGGAAATGGCAAGTAAGCAGATAGACAAAAGCAAGCAGCAAAAAAGGCGTTCGAGGATCAACTGAACGTAACCAAACTCCGGCTGAGCTGCTCATAAATGGAACCGGGCAACTGGGCAACTGGGCGACCGGCAACCGGGCAATGGCCGACGAGAAGGAAGCCAAAATGTTGGCTGCCCATGGGAGCTGACGGAAATTCAAAACCCAAAGTCAAATGAAACGCAGCAATATAACGCAGCGAATTGACAGAGACGAGATAAAAGAACAATCAACAATATGCCAACAACAGCAGCAACAACACCAACAACAATAACAAGAATAAACAAGCGGAGAATCCGGGGGCCAGCCGTGCAGAAGATGTAGCATAAAATGTAGCGAAAACTTTGGAGAAATCATTAATAACGCTGGCAAAGCGCAATGGCATTGGCTAGCAAAAGGACAAGCGCAAGGACATGCAACGGCAGCAGCAACAGCAGCTAAAGCTTCAGTTCAGCTCAGCGTAGCTCCGTCAATCAAAGCGCAAACAGAAACAAAATGAATGGGCAAACAGTGTGGAATAGAGGATGGCAATGTCCAGCCAGAGCTGTCCAGCCAGTGCTGGCCATTGCCATATCCAGCGGATGCCCATTGAAAAGGGGTCAGTAGACAAGCTGGCTAAGCGACTGTTTAGCTGCTTGTTTGGCTGTGGTCGGCCAGCACAGGCGATGAGGATGCGGATGACGATGACGATGACCAGGATCCTGATGATGATTCAGAGGATGACGACGAGGACGAAGACGACGACGATGATGATGATAATGCTGCTGCTGATGAGGATGACAACGGCCCAGCGAATGAGCAACGAGGCTGACGACAACTGCGACTACTACGACGACGACGACGACGACGACGGCGACGAGGATGATGATGAGACATTGAGCGAGCGATGTGGAACGGATGTGCAGTTGTTGTGGTCGGGGCTGGGACTGTCGCTGTGGCTGGGCGGGCTGCACTGCCGGCAAAGAAAAGCACAATTATTCATTTGCACAATGTCAGAAAAGTGTCAGGCCGGCGCCAAAGGACCAAAGGATTCTGCCATAGCTCTTTTGCTGCGGGCAGAAGCCGTAGCAGCAGCAGCAGCAGCAGCAGCAGCAGCTTGAAACAAAAGCGATAATGATGAGGACGACACTTTGCCAGAGTTTTGATCATAAGCAACGCAAAAGGCAGCAGATAAAAATGGCAAAGTGGGGGCATAAATATGAGCAGCAAGCATAAGTAGAAGCAGCAAGCAGAGGCAGAAGCAGAAGCAAAAGCAGAGGAAGGCCAAGGCACCTTCAAAGCTAAGATGGATAACTCAACACTTGGCTATGACTTTTGCTCCTTTTGTTATTGCCCTGGCTTGCCTTGCCTTGTCTGTTGCCTGCTGCCTGCTGCCTGCAAAAGCAGCTCAACGGCATTCACATAATTAAGTGAACTGTAACTGGA